CAAGTTGTAATAATGAAGGATTCTATGGGCAAGATATTAGATGATACAGAAAGCATCAAAGAAGATAGAAGGAATACATAGACTCACTGTACCAAAAAGAATTAGTCTACATTCATTGATTTCAGGAAGCAGCATATGATCAAAACAAGAAGCTATAGAAGGAAGTATTCCAGGCTACATTGAAGACATTGTTGAAAATTGTTTCAGGAATTGATGTATCAACAGTTGAGATATTTCAGTAAATGGATGCAATGCTGGAAATACACACTAACTTTCACTACAAAATTTGGAAGACAACTACCTGGGCAACTGTCAAAAAGAGGTCCACATATATGCTCATTCCAGAAAAAAGGTGGTTAAATGGAATATAAAAATTATTGAACAATAGCATTAATATCACATGCAAGTAAAGTTTTTCTGAAGATACTTCAAAAATAGGTACAGTAGTACATCAATAGGGAACTACCAGAAATTAAAACTGGATTCAGAAGAGGATGTAGAGCAAAGGATAACATTGCTAATGTCAGATGATCCTGCCTGAAAACAGAGAATACCAGAAATATGTGTGCCTGTGTTTCATTGACTATGCAAAGTCATTAAACTGTGGATAATAACAAATATAAATAAGATTTTGAAGAATGAGAATCCCAGCACACTTCATTGTGCTCATACATAACCTATACCTACACCAAGAAGCAACCATTCAAATGATAGGACTTAACATCAGGAAATATGTGTGTCAGGGTTGGATCATTTCACCACATTTATTCAATCTGTTTGCTAAGCACATAATCTGATAAACTGAACTGTTTAGAGAAGAATGCCGTACCAGTTTTGAAGGAAGGCTCATTAACAACATGAAATATACAAATAGCAATATTGCTTGCTGAAAGCGAAGATGACTTAAATACTTAGTGAAGACTACAGCCTTCAGTATATATAACATCTCAACATAGAGGAAACCAAATACCTCACAACTGAACCAACAGATGCCATGATAAATGGAGAAAAGATTGAAGTTTTCAAGAATTTCACTTTATAAAATCCAAGATCAGAGGAGGGAATTGTATAATAGCTTAAATTCTGAGCAACCAGTTTGTAGAAGGCTACAAATCAATTTTCAGTTTGTAGAAAGTCCAAAATCAATTTTCAGAGTCCCCACATTGACTAAGTCTCTATTGCATTCTCTGAGACCACTGACCATATACGTGAATAGTTTTGTCCTTAGAGTACATTGGAAAATGGATTACTGTAGATATAGTTAACTTAACATTTAACATCTTGCCATTTGTTTTCCCCTTTGACCCATTTTTAATTTGTTCTAGTATATATTATATTCTGCTTTCATTTGGACTGAAGTTTTACATGTGTTTTATTTTGTTGTTGCTGATAAGTTCTTTTTTGTTTGGGCATTTTGTTTTGTTTTTGGATTACTTTCTTAGTATGAAATCCAGAATAGGTAAACCTATAGAGACAGTAACTATATTACTAGATAGTTAACAATATGACAGGGGAGCTAATAGTAATGGATTCAAGAATGAGGAAAATGATTAAAAATGTATTATGGTGATGATTGCACAATTCTTTTAATATATTTATACCATTGAGTTGGATTATACACAAAGACTGTCAATGAAATGTGTGGGGTTTTTTCAAAGAATTTAATTTTACTTGGATCCACAACTGACACCCATGGAAGCAGGGGTCAAAAACCATATAACACGGGCATACCTCTGGGCAAATATGTGGGAAAGACCCCTTCAAAGTGTCAAAAAGCAAAGATGTCACCTTGTAGACTAAGGTGCACCTGACCCAAACCATGGTGTTTTCATATGTATGTGAAAGCTCGATAACGCATAAGGATGGAGAGAAGAACTGATGCCTTTGAATTATGATATTGGTAAAAACTACTGATTATACCATAGACTGTTAGAAAAATGAACAAATCTGTCTTGGAAGAAGTAAAACCAAAATGCTCCTTAGAAATGAGAATGATGAGACAGTGCCTTGGACATATTACCAGAAGAGACCAGTTGCTGAAGAAGGTAAAGTTGAGATTCAGTAAAAAAAAAAAAAGAGAGAGTGACCTCCATGAGATGGATTACACGCAGTGGCTGCAACAATATACTCAAACATAGCAATGATTGTGAGGATGGTGGGGACCAGGCAGTGTTTCAATCTGTTGTATGTTAGGTTATTGTGAGTTGTAACAGACTCCAGGGTGCCCAACAACATTATTTTCCTCATCTGCTTAAATTCTCCAAAAGTATAGCAATTCGGTTTGATTCAAAGATGCCAACCAATTTCTAGTGGACAATATGTTGTTATAAATATAGACATGTGCCTATTGGCCTATTTATAACACAAAATTTCCATTTCAGAGTATTTCTGCCATGGTTTTTGTTCATTTCTCCCTGCTGGTCTGTGAGAAGTGGAGTGGCAAGGTAGCAGAGAGAGAGAACAGTTATTCATTCTCTACCCTGAAATCCTGCCCATCCATTGTCTTTCATAATGTCTCCAGCCACGTACAACTGGTCATCGTTTCCCATTTTTCTCTTAAAGGTGACTTCTTTTTAAACTTTTAAAAATAATATTGCTACTACTTTTCATTGGAAAGTAGATAAGGAAAAGAACAAGCGATTTTAAAATCCATCCTGTACTCTATGACTATCTTTATACTATACAATCAGCACTAAAGGGCCTCCTGATGAAGTCAGGATGAGTCCATCCAAACGCAATGTGTTTTATACTTAGATCTTTATGGTCTCCATAGCAGCGATATGATAAATATCCATGGTTAATACCTATCTCTGGTATTCGAAAATTTGTAATATTACCACTTCAAATGTTGCTTATATTCTTATTAGTGATAGTAATTGGTCATATGGATCGCTCCTTAACATTTACAAAATATTTTAAATACATAATCTTACCTGGGCACTTCCATACACATCAACTTGTGAGATGGCAGGGGAGAGATTAGTGACTAGTCAAACCACAGATAGATGGTAAATAAGCCAAAGCTCACTACCATTAAGTCAATGCCAACTCAGAGCCACTGGATAGCACAGGGTAGAACTGCCCTTGTGAGTTTCCAAGACTGTAACTCTTTATTTTTTCCCCCAACAGTTTTATTGGTACATAATTTACATATCATACAATTCAATAGTTCAATTGTTCAATCATACCAAGAAGAATTGTACTATCATTACCACATCACTTTTAGAACATGACTTCCCCCCCATGGTTAAATCGCATTTAAAATTAGTTGTGCGATCATAATCAGTTCTAGTGTTCCCTCACCCCTCCTGCCTTCATTTTTGACTCCCTATCACCCACACACACACACCTAAAATCCTTATATCAGTTATTATCACTATGCATCCACTCCTCCCCTGATTCACAAACCCAAGAAAAACAATAAAAAACTAAATCAAAATAGGTGGTAAGAAAAAAATAATAATAATATAAAGATAAAAATACAAATAATGAGTGAAAAAGAAAAATCCCCTGTGGCAGTTATATATTCTACAGTCAGCTTGAGTGAAGGGGTGGAGTCTAGCCTGTCAATCAGGTCACAGCAAATGAAGCCTCTGTGTGGGCATGGACCTCTCCTGAGGAGTCTGGGAATGCCTGTCTTCCTCCCGGGAGGCAGGACATGCACTTTCCCTGCAAGACATCCCTGTTGACAAGCCACATGGAGCTACGCTGAAAGAGCAAGAGCCCTGGAGCTGGAGGAGCCATGTGGAGACCCACGCCATTGCAGAGATGCTTCTACCACCACTGGATCCACAAGACTTTCTACCCACTGGCCTGTGATCTTCCTGCATTTGGTGTCATTGCATGTGTTGTGTGAGTCTGAAGAGGAATTTATAGACTGGTATCGGACATATGGGCTAATATCGGAATTATGGACTTGATCTGGACTGGGTTGGGATATTTTCTTAATATACAATTACTCTTTATATAAAGCATATAAGTGTCTATAAATTTGTTTCTCTAGTCAACCCAGACTAACACATCCCCATCAATATTTTAAGAGCCAGGGAAGAAATTTTTGTCATGTAACAAGTAACAGAAACTGGCACCTAGAACAGATTCAGGCTGGGTCTACAGAGAGATCAACTGGCCAAGTATCAAGTTTGATCCAGCATAATAAAGACTGCAATGCTTTCCAGAAGTAGAAAACTCTGTCTTTCTGCCTTAGAGCAGGGGGTGGTTTTGAGCTGCTGACTTTAAGGTTAGCCCAATGGGTAAGCAATAGCAAAGTTAAAATGTAAAGCAGGACCTCCTACCTCCAACTCCAGTTGTTCAATTTCCCCATCCTTCACATCCCAGCTCCTTCTTAAGTTTCCCTCCTTGCTAGAAATAGAGCCATCCCTTCAATTGAAAAAGTACTTCATAGCTGCTGCTTTACCTCACTAGGTTCAGAGTCTAGTTTCACACAGTCTTTGAATTAATTCTAGATTAGCCTTTTAGTGAAATATTTTAGACTTTTAAATCTCCTGATCAAGTAGGGAATCTTAAGTAAACAAACACTGAATAAAAGGTTTATAACCTTTTCTGCTAGGTATCAGTGAGTACTTCAATGAGAAGCTGGGAAAAAAGGATGTTCAATGTTATATCTATGGTTAATTTCATTTGGCTTTAACTTTGCATTAAAACACATACACACACACACATACTTACTTTTCAAAATTAGAAAGCATAAATGCTTTGCCAAAGATTGAAAAACACAATAATTCCAAAATTCAAAGATCACCATTATTGAAATCTTTTTTGCTCTATTTTAACCTTGCCTTTGCATAGGTCACTTTTTATGACTGATGATGAAGGTTCTGTTTTCACTTAACATTATATTATGGAGATTTTCTGGTATTCATGAAAATCCTAGAGATTATCAATTTCATTTATGCATTTAGCATATTGCTACAAGTAAACAATAATGATGATAAAATAACTAGAAATTTTTGATGCAAACCAATTATTTATTTTTTCAGACAAGTACACGGTTCTTATCTGATCATTCCAAACCAACTGCCGATTCTCTGAGTGCCAGCCAAGAAGCTGCAGCGTCAGTAACACCAGGCAACACTGCCATTCCCATTTTAGAGATTGAAGATATAGAAAATGAAAAAGAAACCACAGCACTGGCAGAGGACCACCTCCACCAGGAGGTAAAAGTAATATGATTACCCTAATATGATGTCTAAATTCTCTGATGTCTCCATTACCAAGCATGGTCCAAAGCTTCGGTTATTCATGTTTGACATTTCTAAGATGATTATGTCAACTGTCTCCCATCACCAAACAAGTTGTATGGATTAGTGAGTTGTACTCTTCGAACTGAGGTGGTCTGCAATTAATTTAACTAAATTCAAGTTCAGGTTAAAACTTAGATTATAGAAAATGAGCAGTAACATAAATAAGTTTATATGATAGTAATATAAATAAGTTTATATGACAGTCATTAACTTAGATTAAAGAAAATGAATAATGAATATTAAATACTGGCTTAGGAATTATAAGTATGATGCAGGTGTATTATCATTTGTTTCAAGAATAAACCTCTCTTTCTCTTAAGGCTGAAAAACCTCCAAAGCCAAAGCCAAAAGTGGAAAATGATGAACAATCAGAAGATCAGGAGCAGAATTATAGCCCAGAGCTGGACCTGAAGGATCAAGGGGATAGTGATGGTGGCTTCGGTGTGGATTTAGAATATAAGCCAACTGAAGGAACCTTGGACCTAAAAGAAGATAAGAGTGATCCTCAAAAGAAGAGTCTTCCAGAAAACATTGACTTCCTTGCTCCTGATGCTAGTTCCACTGTGGGTTATAGCCAACAAGAAAGTGTCACAGAAAAAAGCCACGATCAACAGTTGAACTTGAGTAGCAAAGACCTAGGCGATCAAGGAGACCAAGAGCAGAATGCAAATAGTCCCCGAGGAGAGGAAGAGGAAGAAGAGCCAGATGCCGTTGGTACTCAGAATGACAGCCAAGAAAGGGGAGAGGATTTTCCCAAGGAGCATTCAAACAGCGATCAGGAGGAAGACAGTACCCAACCTGACAGTCTTTTGGAAGAGTCCAGTCAACCAACTCAAGTCAGTAAGGTGCAGAAGGAAGAATTTGAGCAGAATAGCCAAGAGCAAGAAGAAGATAATTCCAAAGCAGAAAGGGATGAGGAAAATGCCTCAAAAATCAATAAGCACATTCAAGATACTGAATGGCAGAGCCAAGAAGGAAAAACAGGTCTTGAAATTATCAGCTCCCACAAGGAGATGGATAAAACGGTTGTTCCTGAAGATTTGCTCATGGAGCCTACTGATGATGGTAACATCATGCCCAGAAATCATGAGGCTGAGGATGGTGACTTCGGTCCCAAGAAAAATGCTAGTGATGATTATTTCATCCCAAGTCAGGACTTCTTAGAAAGCGAAAGAGCTCAATCCAATTATTATCATGTCAACTATGAAGAGGCGAAAGAAAGAGCACTTGAGAATGAGAGTGTTGATAGCCCTGGAGCTGGAGAATCCCAAGCGGTAAGATTATCTCCAGTGACGCTTGTCTCAGAAAGCAACTCATTTTCTCAGTAAACAGTCCTGCCCTTTTCCTACATTCTTATTGTTTCTTGAACATAAACTTTATATGCACATGGCTGCAATATATTACAATTATTTATCCTTCCGTCCATCTGCAGTAATCTGAGAATATATTTTATTAGGGCTCCACTAGAAGCAGACCCTGGATTTGAGTGCAGTGTATTTGAGAAGTGCAGAGATCAAATTTAAAGAGGTGGAAAAGAGATACAGGGAAGAACTGAAGAAAAGAAATATTACTCAAACCATGTAAATCACATTCCTCAGAGTCATCCCACCTGTGGAGTTAGGGAGCTGGGGTGCTTTACTGGCTAAGATTGCAGGTGGAGATGAAGGGTACCTTAATCCCCTCAAAAGGTTCAGTTCATCCCTTTAGAATTTCCTGGTTTCCCAGGAATAGAAATACAGACACCAGTGATGCAAAGTTCCTGGCGCTCACTGAAATGATATTATTACTATAATTATTATTATTATTATTATTTTAATAAATCATTTTATTGGGGGCTCTTATAACAATCTTACATCTCTTATAACAATCCACACAGCCATTGTAGAAATGATACATTCTGATGAATATGAAGGATAGAAGGCATTGGCACCTGCTGTTATCAGGCCCAGAAAGCAAGTGCCACTTCTATGTAAATTGAGTCACCAGTGTCTCCAAAGTGCCTCTAGCATAATACATGATCCAGTCGTGTTTATCGAATTCGCTAGTAAGATCAAGAACAAAAACTCGAACTACAGCTTTACTAAGTCAAGGCACACAAAAACAGGGAAAGCTTGTTTTCATTGCTGGGGGAGCTATTGGTGTTCGGCTATTTGGAGCTTCCGTGCAGACCTCGCAGCCACCCCGAGAGTATTTGGCATAACTTTTGATGGGCAAGCTCAATAGTTCATTCAGTTATTGAGAACTCTACTGCCATTCTATGGTAGAAGTTTCCTACATTGTGAAAACCAAGAAAGAAACCTGTACCAACAGTTCAACAGTTTCACAAACACATCAATGTAACTGTCTTCACTATTGAACCACGGGTTAGTACCACATTTCTAGGGTTTTCCCAAATCCAAAAGGGTAAGCCCAAATGTTATAGAGCGATCCTCAGAGATACAGCATTGAGACCAGTTGATGAAGTTAGGCTAGGTCTTGTTTTCAGAAGGTGATTGTCCACCCTGATGTACGGACTGGTTGCTCTTTTTTGATATCTGCAATTTCCTGGTTATCAAAATCTCCCATGAATGCATGCACAATGGGGATTTAAATGAAGCAGTGGCATTTCCCTTAACTGACATTCATTTCTGTTCTTGTTGTCACAAAGGCCAAGAAAGCAGAGAGCTCACCAAATGCAGACGAAAACTCAAGTGAAGGTAACATGAGGGTGCTACCAAGGTCAATGGCTGTGGCTCTGTTCAAGAACTCTGTCAGGAAAGAGAGAGAATATGCCACCTGGGCCTTCTCGCTCCTTTCCTTTGTGACTACTGCATACAACTTTTGCTATTCCCAATCCTTCCTAAGGAAATGCTTCCATCATCTGTTGACATTTTCTCTTATGGATATAATATGCAACTATGCGTAAATGTGTTTATAAACGCAAGCACTAGAATTTGTTCATCCTTAAATCTTTTGCACTAGAATTCTTTCTTCCTAAATTCTTTTGAATCCAACAAAAAGACTTGACGCAGCCTTATTTATTCTCAAATCCTTGACTTACTAGTAAATCTAAATCCCACATTTAATTAAAGGTCTACTTATACCCCAAACATTTTTCATTTGAACACAATAAAATCCCCAGGGTTTAACTCCTGACCACTTACACAATAATCTACTAGTGACTTCAGACTTACACAGCCTCAGGGAGGCCAGGAAGAACCATTTCTTCTTTACAAAGATCCACCCAAACTGGTGCCCACCAAAATCTAGACTGTTGTGTAAGTTTACCTAAATGCCAGAAGGTCCCATCTGGGAACTAACTCATCAATTAAAGTGGTTTTTATTGTTTTCCCAAATTTTCCCCCGTATTAGCTCAAATGAAACTAGTTATCTGGTTGGATTTGAGGTTTCCATACTCAGCTCAGCTTTGTCCACATTTCCTGGCTCCTCGTTTCTGATAGTTCTCCCTGACTCTTATGTTCATTAGGACTGTTCTTCTCTTTCCTTTCCTTCTTTCTTTTTCCTCTCCTCCTTCCCTCCTCTGCTTCTTCTTCACAATGTGTTTTCCTTCTGTTAATGGCCTTCCAATTGTTTCCTTCATTCTGGTAGATTCTTGTATGAGTTTCCAGTGTAAAAGAGGACATGTTTGCAAGGCTGACCTACAGGAAAGACCCCATTGCGTTTGTCAAGATCCAGTGACTTGCCCTCCTACAAAACTCCTTGACCAAGTACGTATTCTACAAAAACGGTCTCTAAGAGGCACCAAAAAACTTAGTGATTTGAGTGAAAAGAGTTTGCAACTTGAAATTTTTGTTGGAAACAAAAAGGCAGGTATGTGCAAAATCAAACTATTTGTTACCATGGTGTCCTCGTGTTGTTGTTGCTGTTGGTTAGTGTCGTGTTGATTCGAACTCATGGCAACCATGGGTGCAGAGTAGATTTAGCTCTGTAAAATACCAGGCTCATGTTCTGCAGTGATCCTGAATGGGTTCAAACCTCCAACTCTACAGCTACTACGACCAGCACTTGATCATTTGTATAACCCAAATACCCTCACCAAGACTGGGCCCTAAGAAGGTAATACACTAATCTGTACAGTTAACTTTAAAATTAATTTTCTCCTTGAAACATCTGAAGTTTTTATTCTACTGATATTGTTCAGAAATTTACTGTCATAGTTACTGATATAGTTTGATTGAGTGTGTGTGTGTGTGTGTGTGTGTGTGTGTGTACAGTGGTGGGATTCAGCTGGTTCACACCAGTTCAGTAGAACCAGTACCTCGTTTTTTGTTGAGTTCAGCAAACTGCTGGTTAATATGACATTTATAATCAGGGTTCTCTCTCAGGTAGGTTGGCTGGGCAGTCACCCAATGTGGAAATCACAAATTCTCATGCCTAACTCTTTTTAAATGTGTACCTTGTTTATTGTTCTTTTTCAAGTATTAACTGTATGAAGTAACAAACTAACTTTCATTATATATATTATTCTCCTTAAATCAGTCCTTAGGGCAGCAAATCAGTTGTTAAATTATTTGAATGCTACCAGTGTGTGTGGGTTTGAGGGCAGTGTGTGCATGCGCAAGCACATGCATATGCCAAATGGGAGAGTTACGGTTTTTCTCTTTCCATTGCTGCAAAAACAAAAATATCACAACATCTGTCCTGTCTGCCCTATGTAGAGCATTCATTTCAGCCATCACATCGAGCAACTATCACCCATACTCATCACTAGTTTCCCTATCACCCTAACAGAACTGAAGTTTTTTGTTTTGTTTTGTGGGTTTTTTTTATCGTGTTTCAGTAGGAGTTTTTCTGGTTTTTTAAATCATTTTATTGGGGGCTCATACAACTCTTATCACAATCCATACATACATCCATTGTGTTGAGCACATTTGTACATTTGATGCCATCATCATTCTCAAAACATTTTCTTTCTATTTGAGCCCTTGGTATCACCTCCTAATTGTTCCCCCTCCCTCACAAACCCTTGATAAGTTATAGATTATTATTTTCATGTCTTACATTGTCATCCTTGGCCCCTCACCCACTTTTCCATTATTTGTCCCCCTGGGAGGATGTTATAGATTGATCCTTGTGATCGATTCCCCCTTTCTCCCCTACCCGCCCCCCTCCCTAATCCTCGTGGTATCTCTATTCTCATTGTTGGCCCTGAGGGGTCTCTCTATCCTGGATTCCCTGTGTTGCGGGCCCTTATCTGTAACAGTGTGCATGTTCTGGTTTAATCCGCTTTGTAAGGTAGAATTGAGGTCATGATAGTGGGGGTAAGGAAGCACCAACGAGTTAGAGGAAAGTTGTGTGCTTCATCGGTGCTATACTGCACCCTGACTGGCTCATCTCTTCCCTGTGACCTCTTTGTGAGGGAATGTCCAATTGTCTACAGATGGGCATTGGGTTTCCGCTCCCTGCCCCCTCCCCACTGGGTATGATTTTAGAACTAAAGTTTTGATACATGTTACATCGTGGCTGAAGCCTAAGAACATTGTGCCGAATGATAAAAATGAAGTGCAAAGGGGCAAATATTGTATAAAGTCTTTTCTATGAAATAAGAAGACCAAGCAAATATTTAGAGTTATGGCTTTCGTAAACTCACCTACCCACCACAGCTTGGACAAGGTACAATTTATCAGACTGGCTGAGAACGTTAAGGTCCTTTAAGGCTATGAGCTGTAAGGAGGGTTTTTTTTTTTTCTATTTTAACTTTTGATTGTGAATTGGGTGAAGGTTCACAGAGAGGATCACCAACTTCACCCTCGACAAAGTGCGCACATTTTGTTTCGTTCCACTCACAGGTCCCTGGGATGCAGCACCACTTACCTGGCTTCCTCCCTGGGTTTCTTGTTTCCCTTCCTCCTCCGTTCCTGGCCCTTTGTAATTTTGTCCTTGGATAAATGCTGCCCATTTTGCAAAGGGCTGGTGATTCTAAGGTCATACCTCCTAGTGTTACTGCCCCTCACAGAGTGGGTTTCAATGAGCCTTTAGCTTAGCCAGTTGTTCTCTGCTCTTCCCCAGGTGTGTGGAACCAACAACCAAACCTATGCCAGCTCTTGTCATCTGTTTGCTACCAAGTGCAGCCTGGAAGGGACCAAAAAGGGACACCAACTGCAGCTGGATTATTTTGGAGCCTGCAAATGTAAGATTTCATCACAGCTGTCACACCTGTAGCTGAGAGGGTTTTGGGGGGAATCTGTGAATACCCGAATAGCAGTTCAATGGGAAACAGCTAATGTAGTACATTAAAATCGATTGGGGAGACTTGAAAAAATAAGAGGACTAAGCCCAAGGTTCAACCAAAGAGCTTGTGATCTAATCAGATTGGGTTGAGACCCAGGCATTGTTTGGAGGTTTGTTTTTCAAAGTAACCTAGACGATCCCAATGTGCAGCCTGGGTTCAGAAGCACTATGATAGGGTATGTAATCCTCTTAATAATTGAGATGAATCATAGGACTTTTACTAGATTGTTTGTCCTCCTTCCTATTTAAGTTAAGCCTCTGCCAAGAAGTTTTATGACAACACTTTCTTGCCGGCTTTTTTTAAATTGTCTTCCTTCCACAGGATACTCTCAATTGTGTTTGGATCCCCTCTGCAGTAAATGTTTCTCCGCCTTAGCAGTGCCCACTAATATGTCTGGGTCTCCTCTCTTTTCACTGCCACAGTAGAATTGCCCCGATAGGTTTCCGAGGCCATAACTCTTTACAGCAGTGGTTTTCCACCTTCCTAATGCCGCGGCCCTTTAATACAGTTCCTCATGTTGTGCTGACCTCCCCCACAACCATAAAATTATTTTCATTGCTACTTCATAACTTTGATTTTGCTACTGTTTTGAATCTGGGGACCCCTGCAAAAGGGTGGCTCGACCCCCAAAGGGGTCACGACCCACAGGTTGAGAACTGCTGCTTTAGAGGAACAGAAATCCTCATGTTTCTCTGCCTGAGTGACTGGTGGGGTCCAACTTCTGATCTTGCTGTTAGCAGCCCAGCAAGTAACCCACTCTGCCACCAAGGCTCCCATTCCAGGTCTGCGGAAGGGGTAACTTCCTCCGCCCTCTGTGCATTAGGTCTGACCTGATGACTTGCTCTGTAAGATAAAACATGAGCACGAAGCCTCGATGTGTGTCGGGGCCAACACATGTAAGAGGTGGAAATGATTCCTCATGTTCACTTGCCTGTCACTTCACACTTTGAGGCCTGGGATTCAGATGGTCGCCTCACAAGATGGTGAAATCTCCCATCATCTTCAGCCATCCTGTGCTAGACTTGCAGTGAAATATCAAAAAATACACTCTTGTTTCTTAAAGTCTCTGAGACTTACCATCCTTTGTAACCACCATGGAATCTAGCCTCAACTTTTTCCTCTTTTTACCTCCTCCAACTAAATTCTAATGCCCTGTTTCTAGACCCTGGTTGCCCATGAAAATTCCATGTGGCGGTTTCAAAACAGCCTAATGCCTCAGTTCCTCTCAAGACCAATCAAATCAAAATGTCTTGGAATAGATGTGGACCTCTGGCGTCTTTCTGAAAACCCCTTAAGCAATTCTGGGCTGCAACCAGGGTCGTGGGCACTACTGTCAAGAGCAGTGACACAGAGAGCGGATGCTCTACAAATCACCAGGAGTCATTAAGTTCCCCTGAGGATTAGGCAGATGGAGGGACTAAGGCCAAAGATTACAGCGTATTTACTTTCTGCTTGGAACAGCTATTCCTGCCTGTACGGACTTTGAAGTGACTCAATTTCCTCTACGGATGAGGGACTGGCTCAAGAATATCCTCATACAACTTTATGAAAAGAACCCTGAACAAGCTGGATATCTAAACGAGAAGCAGAGGAATAAAGTAAGCTCCCAGTGGTGGGCTGCCAATACTTTGGTTACCAGACAAGTACAGACCATTTGTACTATGTAGAGACCATGAATGCATCCAAGGTGACTGGAATTGACTGAAGTGCTATAGATACAATGAAGGACAAAATCTTTGCCTTCATGAGCTTACATTCCAGGAGAAAAGACAGACTATAAACAAATAAGCAAGATACATGTACGTGTATGCTTGTTGCTGTTGCATGCCATTGAATTCCTTTCAACTCACAATGACCCCATGTGACAGAGTAGGATTGCCCCATAGGCTTTTCTACACTGAAGCAGATCACTGGGTCTTTCTCGCAGGGAACCTTTGGGTGGGTTTGAACTTTCAGACTTTCAGTTAGCAGGCAAGTGCTTCCCAATTGCCCTACCAGGGCACCTCAGAGTGCTTAAAGAGGTTCATAGACAAATAGAACTATGAGATCATGGAATTTTCCCATTAACTTTTGAAGCCCCCTTGTATTTATAGATTCACACATACATACATTTTATATATATATACACATATATATGTATATATACATATTGATACATATACCCATATACATATCTACAACAATGTGTGCAAATATATAAGCACGTACAAATATATGCATCTATGTCAAATGTGGTAGTATGCAAACAAAAGGCTGTGTAAGACATGTGGGATGAAACGTTCTGTAAAAAAGACAAAACAAGGTGGTTCGTGTGCAATAGCAGTGTCACATACTCTATATGTAGTAAGCTGAGGACAGAGCTGACGACTGATTCGCTGTGCAGAGATTATAGCTGGCTTTGGCAGGGCTATTTCTGTGGAGTGGTGAAGGGGAAAAAGTGGCTTAGCGAAAGGGGTTCAAAAGATAATAGAAGGAAGACTGTGAAAGCAACAAATATAGAGAAGACTTACATGGAGTGGTGCTGCAAAAAGACAATCAGGGTGGTAGCAAGAGGAGAAGGAGTTCAGGAGTCCCAGCAACCACTAGTAGATGGCTGAGGATGTTTGGATGCTTTTGGAAACAGCCTAGTAAAGAAGGGAAAATTACTGAAGAGCACACAAGATACTCAACTGCCAAAAATGTACTTTTGATTCAAAGGCATAGGTTTTGGAGCACAGAGGAGGGGTTGGGCTTAGATGGAAGCACAAGAAGTTTGTTCATCCACTGTAACAGGGATGTTACTGGTGGATGTGGTCATGGGAATGGGTGGAAGTTCTACTCGGATCACTTCCATTTTCTCGTTGAAAGAATTGGCAATATTATAAGCTGTAAGATGTGTATGTACTGCCCCAAAATTATTTCTGTCCTCTCTCTTTAATGCATTGTCCTGGAGAGCCTGGAGAACATTAGTTATGGTGTAGGGGTATTTCAATGGGGGTGAAGGGACAGAATGGGTACATATCAGGGCTAAGCCGAGACTGAGCCAGCACTGGGTGGAAAGACACAGACAATTCAGAATCAAGTATGTCCATGGAAGGAGGAGCAGGAATTTTCCCTAACTAATCACCATTTTGTCTGGAGCCATTCAGTCCTCTTTATTAAAACCTTCTCATTATCTTAAGGCATGTGGTGAACATTACTTGATTAAAACCAAATAGACTTACATTTCTTCTGAAAACCCCAGACTTTTAACCTCAGCTATTATACAATGTGGAAATTTAAAAGGCTGTCACATTGAATAGGAGGCACTTAAATTGGTCTCACATGATGGCCTGGGCTTGCTTGCTGTGGTCATGGTACGGTACTCTTCAAGTGGTTGTTGCTGGGTTCCATCAGCTCAATTCTAACTCATGGCAATCAGAATGAGCTGCTCTATAGGGGTTTCTTGGCTGTAATCTCAATGGAAGCAGATCACCAGAACTATCTTCTGTTGGAGTGTTGGATGGGTTTCAAGCTACAGCGGTTCTCAATCTTCCTCATGCCGCGACCCTTTCATACAGTTCCTCATGTTGTGGTGACCCCCCAAAACATAAAATTATTTTCACTGCTACTTCATAACTGTAATTTTGCTACTGTTATGAATCAGGTGACCCCTGTAAAAGGGTCATTCGACCCCCAAAGGAGTCACAACCCACAGGTTGAGAACTGCTGAGCCACAAGGTTTCAACCTTCAAAGTTAGCAATTGAGCAGCTGGTGGAAACTGTTTGCACCATCTAGAAACCTTAATGTTTAGTAAATGAGCATTACATTACATTTGTCTCATTCTCTAATAATCTTCTCCCTTCCTAATCCCAGGTCAAGAAAATTTACCTGGATGAAAAGAGGCTTTTGGCTGGGGATCATCCCATTGACCTGCTTTTAAGAGATTTTAAGAAAAACTACCACATGTATGTGTATCCTGTCCACTGGCAATTTAGTGAACTCGACCAACATCCCGTGGATAGGTAAAAACGTCTTTCTGCTATACTGTCTACTTTTCCATGTGAAAGAGAAACCTAACCAAATCAGGAAGTTTCCCAGTTCCATTTTGGAACAGAGAAATGCCCAACAAATGTGGTTAAGAATCTTAGCACATAACTTTAAAAAAAAGAAGAAGAAGAAGAACAGACAGAATATGACCATGTCACAGCACCAACTTTACATGCTATAGGCTGAACCTCACGCAAAGGCTCCAATTCATTCTCATCTTTGATTCTAGATTCTCAAGATAGTCTAATTGATGCAGAGTATGAACCAAGTTGTACAAATAGTTCCCAGTGATGACTGAATCATTGTGCATTGGCATCCCAAAGTTGTCTACCTCGCCCCAAAACAGTTTCTTTCATTTGCAGCTTTTCACACACATGCTCCTAGGTTAATAAGCAACCGTTTATCTCATTGCAGAGTCTTGACACACTCAGAGCTTGCTCCTTTGCGAGCTTCTTTGGTGCCCATGGAACATTGCATAACCCGTTTCTTTGAGGAGTGTGATCCCAACAAAGACAAGCACATCACCCTGAAGGAATGGGGCCACTGCTTTGGCATTAAAGATGGTAAGGTCATCAAACCCAATAGAGAGAGGTGTCCTCCTCCCCGAACCAGCCCTAAGCTCTGTGACCTCCATGAAGAGGTCCTGCTATGTGGTCACATAGAAGCCTAAAGACAGTAAGATTACCATGAATGCATGAAACATTCCAGATAGGGCTCTCTTCATGCATGCTATTCATTCTTTGCCTCTGACCCTCTGTTTTGGACCATAGTAAAGGTGAATCTTAACTGCACTAAGATCTAGAAGGAGGGTAAACCTAAGAAGGGATTGTGAATCCAGTGTGCATCCTGCCAAATCTCAGAAGGCTTTCTACTCTCCCTTAATTTTATACTTCTTCCTGGTCTAGATATTGGACAGAAATATTTAAAACTCATAGGTGAGAGGTGAAATAACAAGCCTGGTTCTGACCATCAGAATGAGAAACAAAATTAGAATTAATTACCCACCCACTAAAGGTTGGATCTGACATCACAAGTTGCTCTTGGTTATTATTAGCAATTATTTCTTTAATCCTGAACTGCCCATTGCTGCATCTTCAGCGACAAATACAAAAAGTTCTCTCTACACTAGAGGAATTTAAATTTAGACATTCGTTTTTCTGGGTTATTTCTTTCCATTTCCTACACGAGAGTTCATTTTTATGGGCAAACATGTTTTTTAATAATCAAGATTTGAAATATGTTCCAACAATAATCAAGACTGCTCACATAATGCAAATCAGGAGCAAAAATCAAATCTCTAAGGCAGAAGGTATACGCCTGTTTAAGACACTCATGTAAGATGAATATCCACCTAAGCAGTATGAAAACACTGATTTATCAAAGGTCCAGTTATCCTGCAAAAAGGTAACCTGTGTGACCTTCACTTGAAAAATATTCTTTGTGCATATTTCAATGCCTTGAAATGAGAAAGGGCAAAGAGTATGAGGCTTCAGTTATTGATAAATAGCAGATATATAATATTTTTCTATAAAATAAACACAACTCAAGGAGCACAAAAGCTATGTGCGTGTTAGCTGCCAGCACAGCGTGCTATTTGCCACTCCGAATGTGTTGTGTCGTGGCCTCCATGGGTCAGGAATCCAGAAGTAGATCCACACAGGATCTTTCCTTAGGTAACAGTCAAGCTGACAGCCAGGGGGCAGTTATACAAAAGTCTGGCTGAGCAGGAGCATCTGCACCCAAGTCCTCTCATGAGGTTGTTGCGAGGAGGCTTTGGTTCCTCACCTTGTGGGGCCACCCATAGAGCTGCTCCCATCCTGGCAGCTGGTTCCCTCCAGAACAAACAAGCGAGAGGAGAGACTGAACCTGCGAAGTCTTTTATAACTTAATCTCAGAAGTGATTTTCATTATGTCCTGCCATAGTCTGTTGGCCACACAGAAAAACCCTGGCACAACAGGGATCCGGGAGAGCTGAAGCTAGATGGGAGCCAGCTTAGAGGCTGTCTCCAATATACTGTCTACATTCTATGCAAATAAAAAAAGAGTTAAGACTCAGGTCTATATAAATAATGCTAATTTCCTTTTTAGCATCTGTACTAACATACACAGTAGTTATAAATATACCCCTAAAAAATGGTTCAAACGGTCTATTCTAACTCCTGTGTCAAAAAGACAAAAGTTAGCAAGTGCAGCTGTGCTCCCCCCTCCCCTTCTCCCTCCATGGTCAAAAAGGAAGAAAGTTAGACGGAACAGGGCATGTATAGAGATACCCTATTGTATGCCATGCCACTATAAGGACCAGTCAAAAGGCAAATCCGAACTGTGACCATTTAGTTAAAGAAAATGGCTGTGTTCCCTGTGCTTTTTGTTAGGATTCTGGCACCTGCCCAGCATGTGGACTCACTCAGGCTCTGCTCTGGGTGGTTGTCTGGGAGGAGCAGGAAGAGCTTAGAGTCCAGGGCATTGCAAAGCTCCTGAAGATCTTGTTTGTGCACTGTGGTTTGGCCTGTCATTGTGTTATTTTGAAGTAGGGAAAGAATCAGCACACAATTAAGCCAGCAAAGCAGATATCAAATATTCCGTCAGCATAAGTAAACAAGTCACTGCTTTTAGCCGCAGCCAGGGAAAGCAGAATACTCTCCATTTGAGAGTGCACCCTTCCTTGCAGCCGGAGAAAAGGCAGATTTTAGCCAGCTTCTTCCTGAGTTTTAACGGCATTTGATGTGAACATTCTAGTCTCTCAGCAACTAGCTATCTGAACGAGAGCATGTCATTCATTAGGAATGAGTCTCATTTTCCATATCTGCAAACATGGGCTTCAACTAGGGACAGCAGAGTCTTTATCATTTAGTACCCACTATGTGTCATGTATGGACACGTATTCTCAGTAATCCCTAAAACAGTTCTCCACGAGGGAAGTAAAATGTAAACAAGACGACTGAACGCGTTGGGAAGGATCAATGGCAACAGCTGCCCGGCATGTAGAATGGAAGGAGCATCGCTGACTCCTAGGGGAGATGGTTGAAGTGGCCAGTGCCCCGTTGCATTTACCCTCACCACAAGACAAACATTTTCCAAGAAAATCACTCAGATCCTGCAGGTCTAACTAAGTCCCCCAAAGGCATTATTATCCTAGGAGTACCAAGCAAGGGATCACAAAATCTTTAAACGAGGGAGTAATTTCGTGGGGGGGTTAGTTAAAGAACAGTTAAGGTGACTGTGGCGGTTAATGCAGACAAGAGACAATGAGAGCTTGAATTAGGGTGGTGGCGTTGTCTACCCACTCTCTATCCTGGGGAAACCTACTCACGATCTAGAACAATGACACCTAAGATCCTGGCCTAGGACACACTGCTTCAGAAGCATCCCAAACTACCATAGTAAACGGTTGTGACATGCCCCGATCTAACGCTGCTTGTTTATACCACTACATGACTCTTTTCTAAAACGTTTTTGTTTGTTTGTTTTGTTTTTCCAGAAGACATAGATGAAAATCTCCTATTCTGAATTCAAACCGTCCAGTAACCTCCTCTGCCCTGACCACTTCTGACCTATATGCACCTGTTAGACTTGTAGATTTATGTGTAACAAATATTTGCATGGATGAGAAGACAATGACAGTAATTACATTATAATGGTATATGCACCAGGCACATAACATTAACTCCTGGATATAAGTCAAGCCAACATATGCAAAATATTATATACTGTTTGAACATAAACCATTTAATTCATAGAAATTTTACTCTATCAGTTTGTGAAATAATCACTAATTATAAAAAAATTAATACATTTATATTGCCTATGATATGTGCACTTCAAGTGAATGGAATAATGTTCTTTGAGTTGTGTGTATTCTTTTCAATGTCTTAATATCCTAATAAAGTATCCATAAAAACCCAAATGCTTATCTTTGTTCATTTAAACAACCATATGTGAGAGGCTAAAATATGGATTTCAAAATTAGTTTGGTTTTCTTTAACTTCTCTGTTTCTCTATACTGTTTTCCATCAAGATACTTTTTATATTTTAAAAGTAGTGGAACCCCTGAGACTATGACCCTTAGACACCCTTCCAGCCTACAAGTGAACTTATCCTAGAAGCTCAATCTCAGTCAAACAATACACAAGTCTGCTAGTCCAACAACAGTACCAGGAAGGTGCCCCTCCTGAGAACAGTTAGCCATGGGACCAAAGGGCAGATATGCCTCGTAAGGCCAAAGGGATCGGAAAGGAGAACCAGTGAAAAGGCCAAGGCAGGAAGGAAGGGCGAAGAGTGCTATTCCAGTGAGGATTGCAACCAATGCCACAGAACAAATGGTGTATGAGTTGTTCAAGGGAAAACAAGTTTGCTCTGTAAACTTTCACCCACATTGCAGTAAAAAGTTGTTTGTTTGGTTTTTAATAGAGTAATAGAAACCAACCAGAGCTCAATTACTTCCTATCAAATGACTTTTTATGACTTGGAATGGGTTTCAGTCACCTCAAAAGTAAAAAGAGAATAACTTATATTGTTAAGAATGGGCCCAGGTGGTGTCATGGTTATCCCTTGGGCTGCTAACTGCAAGGTGAGCAGTTCAAAACCACCAACTGCTTTCTATACCCATAAAGAGTAACAGTCTCAGAAACTGGCAGGGGCAGTTCCACCCTGTCCTATAGGGTCACTATGAGTTGGCATCAACTTGATGGCAGTGAGAGAGACTCTTCTAAGGAGCCCCGGTGGTGCAGTAGGTTAAATGTTGAGTTGGGATGCAAACAGAAAGGCTGATGCCCCCAACCAACCAGCAGATCTGCATGGAGAACGATAATGCTGTCTACTTCCCTAAAGACTTACAGCCTCAGAAACCCAAAGGAGCAGTTCTACTCCATCCTATAGGATCGATGTGAGGTGAAACCAACTGAACAGTAATGGGTGTGAAGTTTTTAGATTTTTCACTTGAAAATAAGAAGTGGGTGGTTGGGGAAGACAACAGTTGGTAGCTCTTTTGTTTCCTGTGGAAAATAAATATCCAACTGTAAATAGTAGTTGCTCAAAAATGTTTCTCATTACATTTAAATAGGAAAGAAAGATGTCTATGTCAGATGCTTCTTAACCAAATTTAACTTAAAATGTGGATGCTTATACGGTTTGATCAAATAAATTTTAGCTTCTGTGCAGCTATGCATGTGTGCCAGGAGAGAGCGAGGCTTTGTAAAAAATTTTACATGTTTCCTCTTCTCAAAATAACTGTATTGTGAAAATGAGGCCAGATACTAGAGTTTTGACATTTCTTAATGCCAAATATAGTCTGAAATCAATATTAGTTATATCATAACAAGAAAATATGTCTTAAGAGAACATGTATTTTTATTTAAGATCTTCCTTGATAGCTTTTGCAGTAGAAGCTAGATTGAAAAATATAAGAAGCATCATAATAGAGCTTTCTAGGATCTGAAGCAAGACAAAACAAAAATAAAAAATAGCCCATTGAGAGTGGGGAGACAGGGGAAAGGAAGTGGTGTTAACAAACCCAGGGACAAGGGAACACCAAGTGATCCAAAGTTAGTGGCAAGGAGGGTGTAGGAGGCCTAGTAGGGTTTGGTCAAGGGCAATGTAACTGAGGAATTACTGAAACCCAAATGAAGACTGAGCATGATAGTGGGACAAGAGGACAGTAAAAGGAAATAGAGGAAAGAACTAGGAGGCAATGGGCATTTATAAAGGTCTAAATACAGGCATGTACATATATAAATTTATTTATATATGGTGACGGGAAAATGGATCTATGTGCATATATCTATAGGTTTAGTATTAAGGTAGCAAATGGATATTAGGCCTCCACTCAAGTACTCACTCCCTCAATGCAAGAATACTTTGTTCTATTAAACTGGCATTCCATGATGCTCACCTTCCTGACACGATCGCTGAAAACAAAGCAGGTAGATAGCAAATGTGGTAAAAGCTGATGGTGCCCAGCTATCAAAAGATATAACATCTGGGGTCTTAAAGGCTTGAAGGTAAGCAAGGGGCCATCTAGCTCAGAAGCAACAAAGCCCACATGGAAGAAGCACACCAGCCTGTGTGATCATGAGGTG